ATGGTGTCAAACAAATTTGTAAATAAGCCATTGAACAAATAGAAAATAGTCTAAAAGTGAAGTTTATTACAAACAAATGTTGACAAGCTCAGGTATGACCTTCTAAGCCAAGTTCATTCTGAAAGCAGCAGGATGCTAAAAGAAATCACTAAATACTTAAGTTTATGTGAAAGTGCATGGTTTTACAATTAGAACAAGGCTGTGCAAGCTTAACTTTCATGTGCAAAAGAGGAACTCTGTTCTCTCTAAGATCAACATAAAGCCACCTTGACGTGTGTCAGAGAGAGAACGAAGAACAGCACTTCAGGAATACTGTTATATCGACAAATGAGTCTAAAACTGAGCCATTAGGAGACCAGAACTGGTGATGTGCTTTGCAAAAAATTTCAGAAAAATAACCTTATATTAGCTGCGAAGCATGAAGGTGGAAGTATCATGGTTTAGGACTTCCTTGCAGCAATGGGACTTTATTTGCTCATCTAGACAGAATGGACTCTGAATTCTATGCGTATAATAGGGCTGAAAAAATGGTGAACACAGGTGAAAGCGAGAAGTGGGACAAATTTTCAAAGATTGAAATAAGAAAACTATTCTCCCTGAAGTCTTATCACCTAAGGCTGGTAAAACCAGGTGGTAAGCATAGAAAAAAGTAGGGTAGAATGGCCTTTTTCCTTCACCAGTAAACATATTTGTATTTAAAAATGTTGTTTGATCGATGCAACATTGTTGATTTCTAGTTTTTTTCTCTGTTTCAATAATTCTTCTTCCTAAAGATAAATAAAAATCTGTACATTGATATGTAAATATTTAATGTGTTCTATTTTCTTCGAACTATAAAATGCACTTAATTCTTACAGTGAGTTGCTGCATAGCTCTGCTAAGTGTGGCCTAAAAAGTTAATCTAAATGTAAGAGAATGTTTTAGAAACACAAGAGTGAGCTGCAGGATAACTATTCTGCTACTGCTTTCCTTATACATTCAATCTGTTAAGACTTTGTTCAAAGTAATTGTTTACTATCACAGGTCAGTAAATATTTTTTGGTATGTACTTTTATTCTGTGTGCATAAATCCACAAATTGTTTCCTTTGACCGTTTTTAACATAGTTTGACTCTTTAGGATTAAATAACACTGAGTACTCAACAGAATGTTCCTGGTCTGGTTTTCTATGAACATGACTGCCCTCTAGTGGAGATAACAGGTAAAACAAGATATTCGTTGAAGAGATTTTGACCCAAGTTGACCAAATCTCAATTGCTAAATCATTCCTCTTGTTTATTCTAAGTGATATGTCTATTTCTATTATAATCAAACTTTTTTTTAACAGAGTAAAGTCTACCCACCCACAAAATGAAAGTGAACAAGAACCCCTCAAACAATGAGCGATCTTAAAGTTGCAGACTTTGTTTTCAAACAGATTAAGGTAAAAACTTTTATAATCAACGATTGCCTTCTTTTAATGTTATAGATGTCAGTGCTAGTTTCTCTATAGAAAACCATTTTTCCTATTATTCCTGTAACATATTGTGGTTTAGATGAGATATCACATCTGAATGGAAAATTTCAAATAGCATATTTTATATAAATATTTCTCACATTAAACTTGGTTAGAGGAAAACCTTCAACCACATAAAAAAATAAAGATATATATATATATATATTTTTTGTTTCAGATAAAATACTATTAGAAACCTTTAAATAAAGTTGCCTTAAAAAGAGAGAAGACCATTTTGATTTTTTGGAAAAACTGCAATTGCTGTTGAAAACAGTTGTAACTTTATGTGTTTGAAAAGGTCTTTCTTGTAAATGAGACATTGAGTCTCAAGGGACTACACTGTATAAATAAAGGATAAAAGAATAAAATGCTACATGTTTGCCAAATTGGGACTCAGTTTCTGTAACTTTTCCACTTACCGTATTTTCACGACTATAAGGCGCACTTAAACGTCTTTTTTTTCCCTCAAAATGTGCGGTGTGCCCTATGGTGCGGTGCGCCCTTTGTGTGTTGTAACTGCGACTTTTGAGACCACCTCATTGAGGAGATGATGAAAGAGTGGCTGAATGTAAGGAGACCAGGTGTTTTTTTTTTTCACTCATCACCATCGCTGTTAATCTGTAACTCCATGCGTGCCCATCTCACAGCTGATGTGAAAAACATGGGGAAACAAATTAACCCTGTGCTCGCTGTTCAACCGCTTGACATTGGTGTGAACCGGACCCAGCAGGTGCAGCAGAAGCAGCGAGTTTACATGCAAAGTAAATGGTTGACGCGCGTATAGGTGCAGCAAAAGGTCCTGCAGCGCGTTTTGAGCAGCAGGAGCGTTTAAGCATCTGCCAACGCGCTGCTGCTGCTCGAGATGGAAAAATTGAAGTTTTGCTCCTGGACGCGCCGCATCAACCAATCAGAGAAGCTGATCTGGGAGCTGACAGCGAGACAGACACAGAGCTCTGATGACATATGATATTAACGCAAATGGAAAAGGCTGGATGGATGAGGAGATGATGAAAGCGTGGCTGAGGCAGGTGTATGTGAGGAGAACAGGTGGTTTTTTCCACGCATCACCATCGCTGCGTGCCCATCTCACAGCCGATGTGAAAAAAAAGGTGAATCAAATGAACGCTGTGCTCGCCGTTATCCCGGGGGTCTGACAAAGAGCTTCAACCGCTCGACATCAGTGTGAAGCGGCCGTTCAAAGTAAGGCTGCGAGCGGCGTGGGAGCGATGGATGACAGACGGAGACCACAGTTTCAGGATAAGTGGAAGGCAGCGCCGGGCAAGTTACGCCACCTTTAGCGGATGGATTGTAGATGGACTAACGTGTCTGCTGGCTCTGTTGTACAAGCTTTTGCAAAAGCCGGCATTATTTCTGAGGAGCTGCGCTGCAAGGAAAGTGACTCTGACAGCGAAGAAGGGGAAATTGGCATGTCTGATTTAGCGCAGCTGTTTTATTCAGAAACAGAGGATGATGACTTTGATGGGTTTGATTAATACTTTGTAATAAATACATGAATAAAGCACAATCATACTCAGTTTTGCTCCCGCTATATTTTTCTACCTGAAAACTTAATTCAACAGCAGCCTCTGGGCGGGTCTCCTCCTCTTCACCGCGGTGGCTGGCAGGTGTTTTTTCATCTAAATAATCTAAATCTTGCAGCTATATTTGCTGTGATCAGTGGGAATAAAGTAGTTTTAATATGTTTTTAAGTGAGAAAGTCCACCTGAAAACTTCATAATTGCAGTCAGTTCATCCAGATTATCTATTTCTGTCGGAGGCGCTCAGACCCCCACATACCAGCGGTGCGCCGACAGGAGAAATCCTTTCATCAGCAGCCTCTAGGCTGGGTAGCCTCCGGGTTCACGCGGTGGATGGCAGGTGTTTTTCATCTAAATAATTTAAACTGCAGGCACCCATAAAAGCGAACATATTCCGTCGGCAGGTTTCAGGATTTTAAGTTAATTTAGGAGTGATCACAGCGCTGTGTCATCTGCGATGTGTCTGTCTCACGGCCAGCACCCAGGTTTGATTAATACTTTGTAATAAATACATGAATAAAGCACAGTCATACTCAGTTTTGCCCCCGCTGTATTTTTAAATACGCAGTAGAGGTATTTAAAGGTAGTAGAGGACATGTACCTGTATATAAAAAACTCGCCCTATAGTCCGGTGCGCCTTATGTGTGTGTTAAATACAGAAATGGGACACATAACTGAGACTGCGCCTTTTAGTACGGTGCGCCTTATGGTCGTGAAAATACGGTAATCTTTTGAGTTTTATGTATTCAAGCATGGTAGAAACATTGTGCATTTCTATTTGTGCTACAGATTTATTAGAAGTCTCCCTTCCAGACATAAAAAAATAAGTTTCTACTACTGTAGTTTTCTCGGGATTTTAAATGTAGCAGCCATTTTGGATATAAGATAAGTTTGTGGTAGAAAGATTCAGACCAGAATAAGGAATGATGTCGTACTCCCCTGAAAGACTTTAAGTTGGAAAGTCTGTAGGATCTGTAACTCATTTGCTCACTGACCGCTTACAGTTACTGGCAATATAAGCCAACCAAAGGGTTTATATACATCATATGTATTTTAGTTCTAGAGAAACATGTTCACAGATAAGCACTGCACACTACCATATGGGCCATTGATTTAGAGAAATACAAAAAAAAGCATTTTATTACTACAGTTCTGCCTCCTTTAATATGCAAGTCAGACTTATTGGATTCCTAGTGAGATGCATGATAAAACACCTCACTTGAAAAGTCAAAATTCCACTTTGAGTGCGTGTTCCTGTTGATTTTGTAATTCAGAATACATTCATTCTAAGTGCTTAGTGTCTGTTCAAGTTAAAACTGAATACTTGAATTTGTTTTTTTTCTTTGCATTAAAAACTTCACTGCTTTGGTTAAAATAGCATTATTCACAATATAAACTGCTAATTTTAAACAAATGCATCATTACAATTTCTATTCACTTTAATAAATAATTTAAAATTTGTTTTGAATTCTACCATTTACTCTGTTTTACAGAGAAGCAGAAGCGTCATATATTACTTAAACATTAGCAAAAGCATTTAAAAGTCACACATCTAGAGCCCTTTAGTAATCATGTGCCTGTAAGACTTGTTAAGCGAAAAAAACTGATGTCAAATATAAATTTCAAAATTAAAATCTCAGCAACCACTCTGTTTTTTTTCTAGCATTTCAATGCAGTGGTATACTCCTTTGAAATAAAAAATAGCCTAAAAATTCTAAACAAAATTCATCATATTTGCAAATACGATTAAACCATCCTCAAAGTCCCTGAATTCCGGGATGTGATTAGCTTTTTACTAAAGGAAATCAGTCATGTGAAGGTGACATTAAAGGTAACCTTTTTCCTAGAATAGTACAAAACCTTGTTGAATCTGTGATTGGTGCTGATGTTCCACATGGAAATTCACTGGTTTGCTACTGCTGTACTGTTGGTTGTATAGTTCCTTAGCTGGACCAATTGTTGGCTGGATTTTATAACCTTACTTAGGCAGAAAATCAACTCAAACATACGCCGAAGCTTTAATATCTGAAAATAAACCTCAGGCTAGGGGAAAATGACTGTAGGTTGTCAGAGTTTCTGAAGACCGCTGTGAGACTTTTCTGGGTTTGACTCATTTTTCTTTTTAAAAAGGTTTTTCAGCTTTAGAGTTTTCTTGTTTTTATCCTTATCTTTGTTCTTTTCATCTCCGCTATCAGGGAGTGATAAAAGAGATGGGTGAACAGCTTTTGGAGGAGGAAGCGGTGACTCCAAGTCAGCTGGCAGCCTGCCTTGTGGAAGGTTTGGAGTAGAGGCTGAGAGAGACGTATGCAGAGAGGCCATGGAGCTGCATGATTTCTCAAGGATTCCATCGTACACAAGTTGGCTCAGAGGACCAGCAGTATAGAGGTCTGAGGAGGACTGCCATGGACCTTGGGATGTTAGCATGAGATCTGGCTGTCCAATACGACATGGTAAAGAGCTTGATTCATATCCTCCAAAGTCCTCCCTCAGGGTTAGATGTTTTTGCATATCAGCTGGAGTATTAACTCGATCCCAGGAGATGTTTTCAGTGAAGGCATCTGTTGAACTGGTATCACTTCTTGGTATTCCAGCTATTCTCCTTCTTAAGGAACCAGCAGACATCTCAGCTTCATCTCTCTTTATTCCTTGGCCTTTTGAAGACTCTAGACTAAACTCTTGTGGATCCCTAAAGGCATCTATGGTCTCTCTGGGGTCTGAAAAATATTCCAGTTCATCTCGAGAAATCTTCCTCTGTGGTTTTATAGCTGTCTCAGCTACTTTATCCTTTGGTACAGCCATTGGAGACGGTTCATAGTGATGGTCTCCTGTATTCAGCTGAAGCTTCCTAGAGGCTGTGTCTAAGGACATTCCCATTGAATTCCTTGTAATTCTTCTAGATTCAAACAGGCGTTCAGCATCTTCTCTAATTTTCTTTCTATTTATGGAAGTCTCAACTACATCCCTTGACATTATCCTATGTGTTTCTGATGATGCTTCTAACTCTGGCCGGAGAATCTTTATCATCTCCAGTGGCTCTAAGTCATGTCTTTCCTTGTAAAGACTCCTGAAAGGAACCTCCATCAAATCCTCAGCAGTACCTTTCTCGGTTTTTATAGGTGTGATCTCTAAATCATGAGAAATGCCCTGCTTTAATGCGGCACCCATTGAAACTTCACTCTTCTGTCTGGATATCTTCTTAGGTGCAGTATTTCCATGAGAGTCCTGGTTAGAGATCTTACAAGAAGCGGTTTCCAAAGTAGAACCACCGGTTTTGTCTTTCGTCATCTTCTTGCAAGGAACATTCACATCTACAGGAGTATCAAGCTCTCCCTCAGACATTTTGGGAAGTGCAAACTCAGAAAGAGCTTCTACTTGTTCACACAGAGGCCTAGTCATTTGGCTGTCTGCTAGGAGCTCAGCTTCATCATGATAGAATCTTCTAGATGAGGCATCAAGAGACGTAGGACTAGAAAACATTTTGCTGTGAGTTGAGGATGTTATAAACTCTGCGTCTAAGAATTTCTCTTGTGAATCTCTATTGATGACAGAAAGAAAAAAGGAGAAAGCAAAGAACGGATTTAAGGAAAGTGACACTAAAAATATATATATATATTATATATATATATAGTGGGTAATGTTTAAGGTAAACTCCAAAAATGTTTACAGACTGTGTTGCATAGAGACTTACTGTTTTTTAAGGGTTTTATGGTGAAGCTCATCTCCTTCATCATAGGAAGAGTAAGGGGCTCTGATAGGGATCAGGATGTCAGGATCTGAGGAAATCATGGAAGGCTGTTGTGGAGGGATGACTCCAGGACGACGTGCCCTACAGATGGTGGATCCACGAAGACGAGGAGAGCGCTTAATAGGTGGAATTTGAACTGTGGGAAAGAGGCCAAATGCAACTAATGCAGTTCATATCTTCCACTTACTCAGATATTATTACACAGGTAGCAACTGTTTTAGTCTCCTTAGAGTTGAAAATGATAAGAATTCACTTATCTTTTAACTTATCTAAAAAAAAAACATTATACTATGCAACAATCAAAGTGTTTTAAATTCCCTTTCTTCTCCATTTCAATTGTGGGTTTGGCAGTTTCACAAAGTCTAGATCCCTGAATACACAGAGTTACTGATTAATAGTGTTAACGGGTGTCATTAAAAAAGGATTAGGAGGCGACTCATACTATCAGAAAGATTTCACTGTAGTAAGTCCAAATGTTTAGTGATCAGTGTTGTAACTTACCAGGCATCTGGGGTATAATAGAAGCAGCAGGCTCATCTAAAAGATCTTCTATTGAGCCTTGAACAGAGCTGTGACATGAACAGGAAGACTGTGATACTCGCGGGAACCCCACTGCGGTTGTGTCGGAGTAGAGTTGAGCTGTGAGGTTTGTTAGTCCAGGATTTCTCATAATGGGAAATCCACAGAGGAGCTCAATCTGCTGCCAGCGGTGAAGGCGCTCTCGCAGACAAGCTGTTACTTCAGACAATGCCTGCCTGTGGGGAGCGCAAAGTATTTGGTTATCAAAAGTACATTTTTTAAATTATTTTTGACGCTCAAAAGCAGAGGCTGTTCATGTAGCTGTCTGCCTTACTTTGCTTCCATGATCTTGTGATCAACGTGGTCAAGAGAAGAGCTGTGGGCCATTTGGAAAGTGCCCAGAATAGAATTCCTCTTCCTCTTGATTCTCTCTGCCTGCGGAAAAGATAGGTTCAAGGAAAGTGACGGTACTCTGTGCTGGTACAGTTTGCAAATTTGTGTTTGGTTGTTAAGTAATCAGTTATTAATTAAACAATGTATTTATTCTTAAGTATTTTACTCAACATACATGCATTTTTTTATGCCTTACCTCTTCCTTGGCAGCTGCTAATTGTAGCTCTGCGCTGTGCTTTTTAACATTGTAGTACTTAACCTCCACCTCATGTGTAAGCTGAAGCCATTGCTGAAGGGCGCCTGAGACAGTCCAGCTGGCTATCATCTCCTTCTCAGCCTGCTTTAGTGCTCCACGAACCTAAAAGAATGTTTGATATCAGAATGTGATCAAAAAACCCATTCTAAAAGAAATTTGTTCCATGCTAATGATTTTTGAACTGCATTTTTTTTTTTTTTTGCAGCTTATTAAGACTTAATAATTTTGGAGCCAACTCTACCCTAATAATTAAATGGAAAGCTACATTGCAGGTACAGCTGCCCTTCCTACACAGGCAAAAAATAGAGGCTTCCCTAAACAGGCACCACCAGGCCATCTGTGTACCATCAGTAGGCAACGTGGGTAAAGTGTCTCATCCATGGACATAACAACCTAAACGGAAAGTGCTGAGGGTCAAATTAACGACCCTCTGGTTGCAGGGTAAACTCCTGCATCCTACATCACTGTATTTGATGAGCGGTAGACAACGTCTAAATTGTGTATCAAGCAGATCTGGAGAAAAATCATTTTCTGTCTGTTAAAAAAAAAAAAAAAAAACTCATCAGTGCTCAAAGGAAAAAATAAAAATCCTATTTTGCCAATATTATGTTGAATATGGGACTTAGCATCAAATCATGAGGGAATCTCCCTGACAAAAGTTCTGTCAAATGTTGCCATAGGGAAAGCATAAATAGCATGACTTTTGTCCAGAAAAGGTATATTAAGGTCTTACACCATCTTTAAAAAAATAAACTAATTTTTTTCGGGTTCTTTCTCACTAAGAACTCCCCTTAAAGATATGTATAAGCAATCACGGTTCAACAAAATATTGGGTTGTTTTTGTCACACTGGCTGCAGGGTTCGCCTCAAAAAGTCATGACTTGGTATGCCTTTCCTGATGCAACCCAATCGTCCAAGACTTTATTCACTTCATCATAGGAATTAATCAACAACATATTAGGTGACAGGTTTCTATTCTGTACTTAGTCACACTTCAGCAAACTACACATATATATAAATTGCTGTAGTGCTTCATTCTGTATATATCAATGCATTCAGCTTTCTTTTTAAGAGAGCGAAACTGAAGAAATCACTGGTAATTTCATTGATGGACACTGTTATACAGTTTTGCATTTAAACTTACTGCCAACCGCACTAAAAAAAGAATGTTATAAATATTCTATGGCATGGCTGAGACAGCTGCTCTACTGAAGATGAGCATGTATTAAGCAACAAAATAAAAATTAAATGACTTAAAAATGTATTTTCTTTTTATGCCAATATTTATGCCGCTAGGTGAAAACAGCAGGATGACTACCAAGGTTATTTTTAACTGACTGAAGGAAATAAAAGACAGGAGCATTCTAAGCTTGAGAGAGAACATGCCTGTGTAAATTTTCAGTCATCCGGGTCATGACAACTACAAAACAGAAGGGAAGCAGACTTATGATGCCTTCCAATTTAAGAACCAGTTTTGTGGTTGAGAGAAGTATAGCACCAAATCAGTTCCATTGCTGGACAAGGGTTTGTGCTTGAGTTGGTTATTTAGTTCTTAGCAAAGAACTTCTTTATTTTCCATAAACACAACAGCCTCAGTGCCACATCATTGCTCCTTTTAAAATTTGTATTCCAGTCAATTCTTCAACTGCTCAAATATTATCTATCTAAATTGCCTCCAGTTTTCTCCTGGTTGTTTCTTCAAAGATATGTTATGTGTAACCAATGCTGTAACTAATGTGTTAAAGGGTCAAATGGTAAATGGCCAATAATAATAAATAATATTTTTTCAAGCCAGAACACTTGACAAAAGTGCTTTACACTACATTAAGTCATTCACCCATTCACACAAACACTCAAACATTGATGGTGGTGAGCTACATTGTAGCCACAGCTGCTCTGGGTCTCACTTTACTGGTTAATACTAGATTCGTAATCTGCTGGTTAAATTGTGCAACAAATGTTATTCTTCCTAAATTAAGAAAGCTAAAAACAACCACATTTTAATTGTTGGTCGGTCGTTATTTGAAACCTCCATTGATGGAACAGTTATTTTTATAGTTAGGCTAAAAGGTGGAGCAAACTAGCACATATCATTCTAGGGAAACAGCCAGGTGTTGGTGATTGATGCAAAAAGTATTCAAGCTAAAAAAAAGCAATGTCTTTAGTTCATCAGTAGAAGCAGGTTAGGTGGAATAAAATAAAAATAACTACAGCCAATAAAAAATTAACAAACGGCAGCATATAGACAGAAGCAAATAATTTGGCAGTTTGACAGTTGAGATTATTTTATACAGTAATTACACTGTGTTGAAGTGTATCAGAAAAAAAAAAAGAAAAAGATTTCTGTTAATTTACAATTTATCCTTATCCGCACACATGCTTGTCAGCTCACCCAGCCTTAATTAAACTACTTCTGTTTGACATCTTTAGTGATTATTGAACCGAGCTCCCTAATAGTAGTATTGTGATTAGCAGGTTCAGGATGCCATGCATAATTTAATCTTTAACTGCACGTTCTTTTTCCTTTAAGTTCTACAAAGCATGCAATATTCAACTTTCAAAAAGTGCAGATGACGTTTCTCCTCCTGTTTGTGATGTATCTACCTGTTCCAGCTCTTCCTCTGCATACCGTAGGCGGCTGAGCTCACTAACGGCTCCCTGTCTCAGTTCATGAAGACGATGAGCTTCTTCCTGAGCTCCAATAATCTCATCTCTCATCTTCTCCTCCAGGTATTGTTTTTCCACCGCCACATTTCGTTTTTCTTCCTGAGCCCTCTCCAGTCTGAAGAAAGCAAAGATTTTACCTCGATTAACACGATCAAAATTATTAAAATATAAGTAGCATAGGAAAGAATAATATTAAATAGTTACTGTTCCTGTAGGTCCATGAGGCTCTGTTCTGCCCTCTGAAGACTTTCTAAATCTTTCATCATTTTGGCGACGTGAAACTTGCTGGCTTTATTTTGGGCCTGAGCAAACCAGCAGCCGCCTATTCCCATCACCACTGACACAATCAGCAGCAGGTCCTTCATATAGTTATGAGGGGGGCCTATGATAGAATAGAAAACAATGATAGTAAGTTCTGAATTTAATTCTAAAATTATTTGATCCATCACCAAAGGGTATAGATAATAGGGTATAATAATAGAAAATCCAAACCAAATGAACACCCCAAATGGTAACTGTAGGAAGAGTAAAGAATATTTCATACGTGTAGGTGGTCCAAACAGCACAACATCTAAAGCTTTGATGTTGAGCTTCTGTTTGTCTCTCTGGTCCAGAACCTTTAACTGGGTACTCAGGAACGAAGGCTCATTTGCTGCAATCCTACAAATATTATTCAGGTCAGACTAAATTATGGTAAAGAGCAAAATAAAAAATGGTATTTTCTTTATGAGTACAAGTTCCTGTTTCTTGAATTGTGTCAAATGTCTAAGAAAACCTATTCTTAGTTTGATCAATCAGCTGATCAAAAGCTGCTGAACACTTATCAAAAACACAAAACAAACAGGTGTATGGTGCATTGGGCATGTTTAGTTTTTTATCCCAAAAAAATGAAAACATGACATAAACCAACATGTTTTCATGGGTGACATTTCCTGCTAAGACGCTTGCTAACTATCCTTGTCTGTCAAAGAAACACAAAGATTTTACACTACTGACAGTTTCATCTTAAACAAAATCGCATTTGTTTCACCACAAAGTAATTCATTATTCTTCTTACCTGGGAAGGGTGTTGCCGTTAACCTTAAAATCCTTAAAATTTCGTTCATACTGCGGCAGCTCGACAAAGTCTTTCAGCCAGCGCAGAACATCATCTAGTGTCCAGTTGTGCACTGCCAAATCAGTGATAGGAGTTAATTAAAAGACATGTTTGAAGCTTTCGGATGAATTCACATGCAATGTTACCACACCTTCAGATGACTTCCAGCCCCTCCACAGTTCCTCCACTGTAATGTGCTGGTCTTCTCTGTGCAGGTTGCTATGTTTGTGGGTCTGCTGCTGCTTCATGTCTTCAATGATAAACTGTAAGAACAGAAAGAAGATGGCCGAAACAGACTTTTAGTAATAAAAGCAAAGGCATCTTTAAGGCAATTTGGGAATTATCTGATAAACTAAAAAACAGTATATAAAGAAATTTCACATGTGCTCAGGTTTTAGTCTAAGGAAGTCTTTTGAACAGTTTTTTTCCAGATATTGTAGCTTGACAAGCATCAATGTGTGTTGCAAAAGTTTACAGCTGGTATGTGTGTTGAAGCACACATACCAGCTGGAATGTGTTTCTGACCATAAATCCATTCTTTATATGTCGGCTAACAGAATTTTGGGACTTCAGGCGGTGTCTTGTCTACTGATGTTCCCATACCAACTGCAACCTGAGCCCTGGGATTATGTATCCAAAAGCTACACTCTGGCAGGCAACTGTATTATTTTAGAAGTCCATGGTTTACCACTAAAGAAAAAGACTTTCAGATATTTTACTATTTATTGGATATTTAAAATGCTTATTACAGTACAGGGGGTAAATGCACATATGGAATGTATTGTCCTTATGAAACACGTAGGCTTTCCTTTTGAAAACAGCTCATAAATCTCAGCAATCTTAAAGTGATTATACATTAATGCAGTTTCATTATTAACACATGTAATACTTCTTTTAGCCACATTAACAATTTTTCTCCTCTTGGAATAACTGATATGATGAAAAGCACAAAACAAGGTCTCATTGCATTTTCAAAAAGCAATGGGAAAGAAGAGCCCTTTGCTTTTACTCACGGTGCATTTACTCACCGGGAGTATGACCTACGCTTATGAACTGCACAGTTATACTCTTTACAATTTGCTGATAAAGGTCAGTGAAATGGAGTATTCTATTAGTGCAAACCGATTTTGTCACTGTGCCAAAAGCAAAGTTGACAGTTGCTATCCTTGAAGGAGGACTTGACTCCTCCAGCCAACCAGCCAACACCTGTTGTTGTACTGATTCACTCTACTGCTTTCTTACACGCAAAGGCGTATGAAAAAAGAGAATTTAAACAAACATAAACAAAGATTAAATATATTGTAAAAAGCTCAGTGTTTACCTCCATGCTCTCCTCCACTTCGATCCCACCATCTTGGTCATCATCCATCATCTGGTGGATGCTACGCAGAGCCTCCAGGCTGTAAAGATCAGCCTCACTCAAACATGGTGGATATATAGTCAGACATGGGTCTAAATAAATAAAAAAGACATATTATTCTTAATATTATTGTTAATTAATCCCATCATTTCAGTGAACAGTTCCCTCCAAACATGGATGTAAGAGAACATATTGACAGCAGCTTGCCATTTTTCTTTATTTAATGCAGAAAAGAAGGAAAAAAAATTTTGCGACCTGTTCCAAATTTAGCAAATGTATACTTTACATCATGCTGTCTCATTTTGCACAATAACTTAAGCTCAGTCAGATCAAATAGAGAATATTTATGAACTGCAAATGTATAATCTATCTCAAGCACTTCATAAGCTTTAGGAGGTGCTGTTCTAGAATTGCCCTCTATTTAGTTGTATCTATATTCAAGTCAGCTCTCACTATGTTCCCTGATTCCCTAAAGGAATAGCATCACCCAGAGCATGATGATACCAACATGTTTCACTATGGGCATGGTATCCACATAAGTCAACAGTTTTTTTAACTGTTGTTTTATCATACTTAGTGCTTTGTTTTAGAAAATATAATTTCACTACTGGAACTTGAAGTTTTTATTATCAAGATTAGTTTTATCTTTGCACTGAACCAGCTCAAGCCCTGACTCAACTTTGTTTTCTTGTCTTTTAAGGGTTTTTTTTCTGACAGAAAAAAAGCAAATGTTTAAAAGAAGCACAGTTGGTGCTATTTGAAACTGTAAAATCTATCTCAATCTCTATCTCAAACTCTATCATCAATACAATCTGTTTACAGTCAGTTAATAGAGAATTCAAAATTCAAAATTTTGCTATCCTATATGTAAAACCTAATGTTTTTTTTATGCTAACGCACGTCTTCCAAAATAAGGAAGGCTGCTATTGTGATTAACTTTAGAACATTTGTACTAAAACCAAGGACAAAATAGCTTACATTTACAGATAAAACCACTATGAATAAAAGACAAACTTTAGAAAAATGTGGAGTGTACTTGAGCGCATTGTGATAATTCCCATCTGAGTTGTATGGCTTATTAATCTGGTGTAATTAAGCTTTAAATTGTACAGCTTGTTCCAGGTCAGTTTTAGATGGAAACATATGGGGTCCATGACACACGTTTTCCTGATGCATATCAATCATTCTACTGATTCAGAGCTTTGTTTCTGTGACACATTCTTCTGTCACAGAACCTCAGGGTGGAAAGTCTAAGGTCTGCCAGCGAAGTCCACCATCTGCTGGCCCCAACAAACCTCTTGGAACTGTCTCTCTACGCTATATGTTCACATTCAGAATGCTTTAAAATACATATTGATATGAACAGTAATGCAGCACGTTTAATTTCCAATAAAAATGTATTAATCAAAACCAGTTAAATTTACATTAAAAAGTTGTTTCTGAAAAATAAGGGAATATTATTTAAAATTACATTACTGAACTTCACCCCATTTAACAGATGTTTACATTGTTAAGGGCTGCTCTTGTTAACTATCCACCTCATTTGTTTTTAATTCTGGTAAAGATTTCTTAAAATGATTAAATAATCCCATTATCTGTCATGTGTTTCTTTTCCTTGAGAACACAGACTTGCCCAGCTTTGTTCATCACAGTTTTTTAAAATTCATTAAAAAAAGCTACTTGGAAAAAAAATGCTAGTTCCTAGCAGCTATTTTTTACCTGTTGCTATTTTTTTTTTTTTTTTTGAACACGATGACTTATATTGAAAAAAATAGCAGGGGACAAATCATCTGTTTCATGCTATTATCATTCAACAGGTAAATAGTAAGTTTACTTATTACTACATATCAGTCACCATACAATCTGATAAACTTGAATACAGGCATAAACTTTATATAACATTTCTGCGTCTGTATTGAATATGGTTCATGCAAAATAGGTTAAAATCAGTTTGTCAAAAATAATGTTTAAAATGATTTATTTCAAACATGATTTTCTTTTTAACAACTAGATTTTATTTTAAAGTGTGCGCAGTATTCAAAATGGAATACCAAGTAACCTATACTTTTATGACTAGGCTTGAAACCTCCCCTTTTGGTAAAGCTTGTTGTTAGAGTGGTTCAGGTTATCATGGGCTATCTCTGAAGTTATGCTGTTATAGGCTTAGACTGCTGGAGGACATGGGGACTACTTTCATAGTTTTGCTTAAATCTATCTCTACTCTATCTTTCTGCAGTATGTGTTAGTTGACCCCCTTACATTGAGTCCTCTCTACTTTTTCTCATCATATTAGCTTTATCCTGTTTGGCTTTGGCACCATTTCTAAGGGTAAAAATCAGGTGGGCTGCTACCATCAACACTTTCATTTATAGATGATAGAGTTGGGCCTGTGTTTAAAGGCTTAGTCCCGCTTCTCTTCCAGACAAAGCTATGAGTTGAGCATTTTGGCCTAACTTAGTGACACATTGCATGCTCTAAGGTTAGGGGGCCTAATATTAATGCGGAATTAGGTTCAAATTATTACAGTGTTATGTTTATGAGTAAAAGCTCACATTCAAAGCTTTGAACTGAACTAAACTCAATACTGCTCACTTTAACTGCAGTTTTTTGGTGCCGAACAACAAATTTAAACAGTTTTTATAGGAAACATTTCACATAGAAGAGCCACAGCACAATACTCAGTGCCTCCCAAATGTGTATGAAAATAAAGCAAAGACAGATCGATTTTGGAGTCATTGGTAATTTTTTTTTTTCTTTGTTTCTTTAGTTCAGTCTTCGTGCACATTATATATGTATATACATTACCTAATAACCTGAACTTTATGATTTTAGAATGTTTAAAAAATGGAAATACGTCCTTTTGTCCAACCCAACATCATATTTTAAAATATTTGGCAGGTATTCTGGATGACTCAGTTTTCTACTGAGTTCTTAAGAGTTTGAAGGGAGAAAAAAACTACTGCAATATCTGGTTTGTGCTGCCTCAGTGGCAGTAAGAGGGTTAAAATTGACAAATAAAGTTAAAATTTAGAAATTTTCTAAAAAAAAAAAAAAAGTTCTCTTCCATCAATATGTGCGATTGAGCCAATTTCTTTCTTATTAAGTCAAGATAAATTTAAATATATGCAGGATAAAAGACATGAGAGAATAACATTACGGGTCGTTGAGTTGATAATCCATATTTTTAATTGTGAATAAAGGTATTACCTAAATAGTTTTAACCTAGCCTTAATTAAGACTGATAATAAATGACTTGTGGACTATGAAAATGGAAAAATGTTTTAACCTGGCTGAAATTAATTCTTGTAAAGAATGATGTGGCACAACCACTGTATTGTAAATTGTTTCAATGGACAACTCAAATATTTTTTTTTACAACATCTTAAGCTTTACAACAAAATCAGTTTTTGTTTGTTATTGTTCGTTAGTCACCACTCTGTGAGTGGCGACTAACGAAGTTGATTAATCAGCTATGAAACAAGAAATATGGGCAGCATGTTTTTAATATTCAAGTCCTCATAGCTATCAAAATCATTCAGTTATTACATTGTTTTAACATGTTACACTCTTCATTTAATCTATTCTGAATGCGCCCAAGCCCTTTTTAAACATGACGTGGGTATTTACTTTAGTTGTTTCCAGTTATTAAGAATATGGAGTTTTTTCATTCTTAAAACCTTTTTTATATATTGTGTTTTATTTACCACTATTCTATTCTATTCAATTCAATTCAGTTTATTTCTATAGCGCCAATTCACAATACATGTCATATCAAGGCACTTTACAGTTCACCAGATCATCCAATCAAATTGATTCAAAGTTTTCTATCCAAGGAAAACCAGTTGCTTGCATTGACTCATTGACTCGAATGCAATCCCTCACACTAAGCATGCTTGTAGCGACAGTGGAGAGGAAAAACTCCCCTATTCTATTCTACTCTATTCTGTTCTACTCTTTTCTGTTCTATTCTATTCTACTCCATTCTATTTCATTCTACTCCATTCTATTCTATTATATTATATTCTACTCTGTTCTGCTCTATTCTATTTTTTTTTTATTCTACTCTATTCTATTCTATTCTATTTCATTCTATTCTATTCTATTCTACTTCATCCAAGTTATGTTAGTGTATAGACCTACCTTTATTATGAAGAGATGGCTGAGTGGATCGATCAATAGCCATCTTTGCCTAAACCTCCAACAATGTCAGTTATCATTTTTCATTGTCTTCAATAGTAACATCTTCTTCTTACCTGGTTGCTCGAAGTCTGCGCTTCCTCCGTGGGAGTGGAGGCCTTGAAGCTCCCCGACGCTTTGCGCGGCTACGAGGAGCGCAGCGGGGAATATAAGAAAAGCCATGGAGACGGCAAGCATTTCAGCCCGTTCTTCCCTCTCTCTTTTTTTTTCTTTTAGATTATCGTGGAAAGTTAAGAAAGTTATGCAAAAAGTTGGCGCAACAACGCAGGAGAAACGAGCGCCCAGCAGTCAACAGTGTCAAGTCTGCGAAAGCGATCCGTGTTTCTATTACGGGTGCAGAGCCAGAGGAGAGATGTGATACTGATGCTCACTTGAGAAATAAGCCAAGCTGGATAATACTTATCCAAAATAGATGGGAAGGTTTGCACAAAGATAACATACAATGTTGAAAAGTAAAAGGAAGGTTATGAGAAAAAAACAAAACAAAAAGTAAATGATGTTCATAAAATTCTGCTTTCTTTCAGAATAGACATTCCTGACAAGTAATCCATCTCAAGAAACACAGGATAAAAAAAAACACCAAAACATTTTAAAAAATAAAATAAAATAAAAAACGCCTCATTTAAATAAAATAAGTTAAGCTGAAGGACGCTGCAAGGTTCTCTGAGATTCCTGTCCAGTCTGTATTGGGTTTCAGTGTCCTATAACTAATGGGGTCCAGTTCAAGCTGTAATCTTCCTTACCACCCTGTCAGTGACGTTGTTCCAGGGAGTTGGCAGTCAGCAACAGAGCATCCTGGGATAAATATCCAATCCCAATTGCCATCCATAATGTGTGGTTATCTATTATTGATCATCTTACTGCAATAATGGTAGGATTAATCAGACCCTTTAACACCCCAGTATAGGAAGTATATATCCAAAATAGCTCTGTCATGCCAGAAATAGTCTGTCTGGGCCTGCAACTAAATGATGTAAACTGTAAAACCTGCTAAGTAAACGTATGAAATAACTACCCGATTTTGGTTATTTAATCCAGTTCTGGGTCCAAGGGTGTAACTTTGTGATGAAAGTTAGTGGGGTCACTCTAAGAGTGGTAGCTGATGGACCTAGAGTTACTCGACACAAACGCTTTCAATAGGGTTTGTATTTTCCAAAACATATATTTATTGAATGCTTTCCTATTGTTGAGAACACTAAAGAACTCAAATACATTGATATTTATATTTATGGGTAGTGCGACATTAATTTATATAAAAAAAGATGAATAACAGATTCTGATGCCAACAGCAATGTATCATGCCTCCCTAGTATGTACACAGTTTCATTCATTCATCCATCAGTTCATCCAGAAAAATTGGGTTTTTATTGATTGGATGTTTTCCCTTTTAGCTACATCAGTGATTATCCTCCTTCAAAAGCAGCAAAATCTAATTTAGAAATTTGTCCCAAATATTGCTGTGTGCCAAAGTCTATTGAAATCATTGGTGGGGACATGTCCACACCAGTCCTTCAAAAAGTTACACCTGTGTCTGGGTCAAATATGGACCAGTCTAAAGTTGTGTTTATTTAGCTCAGCAGGGTTTGTTTTGACCTATGAGGTAGGTCTGCAGCCTAATTTGTATATATATATATATAACCTGTTTCTTAACAACTAATAACTGGATTAACACAAAGGCTGTTTGAGGCTGTTTTCCATTTGGAAAGGCAGAGGTGTTCAGACATTTCCTTAGAAGAAAATACAGCAATAAAGTTATCATTTGCGTCTCATTCTTCATTCTTGAAAAGTGTTTTTGATGAAATGTCCAAAGAACGAATTTCATTCAAATTTCAAATTCTTTCCCTTGTTTTGTGCACAGACTAAACCTGGCCTTATAACATGGTTGGATTATGACGCAGTAATGGAATCCAACTAAAGAATTTCAATGGATAATATCAGTTCATCTATGGATTAAAATCAGAAATGCTTGAAATGATACCTATGGTAAATGTTAAAAAATCAAGAATAAAGAAAATATATTGATTATTTACTGTTCTATATTCCAACACTGATGTTTGAACAGAGCTATCATAGCTTGTGACTACTTTTGTTAACTAAGAAAATTAACACAAATAACTGATAAAATCATTAGACAGTAAATCATTTTTCCATCCTCTTGTGTCGTATTGTACAAAAGGTTCTGTGTGATCTGATCATTTCTATAAAAATGTTGTTCTTCTCAGTTTTTTATCAATTTGATTAAATCTCCCAAACAGCATTAACTCATCATTTAAGTTTCTAGATATAACCCAGCAGTATTTACAGTGTACTGTTTGCAGCCTGTCGACCTATGTTTAGAGGCTTAGCAAGCGCTTGTACAGCTGTTCACTGAGCTATTAATGATGTTCATATGCGTCACTTGCAATTTCCAATCACACTTAAATGTAACTTGATCGGTCTGATCAGCCAGATTTATGTGATTTGTCGATTTCAAATAAGATGTTTCATAAAAAAAAATTAAAAAAGGTGAACGACAAGAGCAGCCTTCACAAGCACACAAACACAACACAGTTACCAGGTGTCACATTACCTCCAGTAATCTAGGTCCCAGTTTAAAAATAGTCAGGCAAATATGACCTCTACCCTGTGGAGCATGTCCAAGTTATGAGTGGCCCATGAGGCGTTTAACAAGAGTTTTGTGTATAAATTAATGCACTTGAGTTCAGATAGATTTTATAAGTTGCTAAAAGTCTTGTAGAATAAAGAAATAAGTAGGCATAATGCTGCGTTTTCTGACTCAATTTGTTTTTAGTCCCAAAGAGTCCCCAAAGTCTGGCAATCACTGTATATCAAAAATCATCTTCTGTATAACTGTGTGTATATATTTATATAATTATAGCTTATATGATGGCTGAAGCTCATTGCTACTCCTGCAATACCCAAGACTAAAGCATTACTCAATTATTCTAAAATCTCACAGCAGTTAAATGCAAGCACCATTTCATTCAGCTTTTAACCTAAATTTTGTTTTTACTGGATGATATTCTTTGACAGAGAAAACAAGAAAAAAAGTTGGAGGAAGTGCAACACCTCTGATCCATCCTGTACATAAACAATTTCCAGAAAGGCGAGGTGAAATTCCACTAAACAGCAATCACTGTAGAAATTCGGCTGTTTACAGTACTTTGCTTTTATATAAGAAAATGACTCTGGGTGGGAACGATTCAACCGTTTCTTTCACAGAAGGCATTTAACACGGGAAGGTTAGTGCAACACCTGCAATTCCCTTTTATGTATTTCTAAGCTTCATAATATGGTGTTGCATTTTTTTCTTTTAGATTACAGTTCTCAGTCTTGGGCTAGTTATCAGCCTCGGTGATCAGCTAATCTGCATTGTAGTAAATGAACACTAATTTTGATCTAATCCTTTAGTTTGTGTAGGAACAATCATGAGCACATTGAAAAGAATTAGCTTATTGAACCTTTAGCCTTTCTTCTTATTGTCATATTGATGAAAACTGTAACATTGTGTCTACTTTGTAAGTTGCTTTGGATAAAAGCGTCTGCTAAATGCATAAACATAAACTTGCACAAAGAATAACTTATCTGTTAATTGCTCTGCCTGGGAAACCTAACCGCTCCACACAGAAACCAGAGGACATGTTTTCTGGTACTATTTAGGGAAAGAACACAAACTACATAACACGAGAAGAAGGCTCTTCTTCCATAAACCCCAGAGGGATAAATCTGCCGGCTTGGTGACACGGTGAGGCTGTTTCAGCTTAAATCTCATGACTTATCATACTTTAAACCAGAACGATGCTGTATTCAGAACCATGCAGAACATCCTAGCCTAACATGGCTGGGACACAATAATGGATGAGACACGAATCAGCAGGAAATGTGACCATTTCACTGAGCGTTCTTTGGCACGCATGGCCTCAGTAAACCCCCCCCTCCATGTATGTGATAAACGGTTTGTACTGAAACTGATTTCTCAATTACAATGCAAATTGTAGTTGACAATAAACATAAATTAACTGATTGAAAAAATGTTTTATAAGGAGTGCAAATAATCAAACATGCTGCACACAGGATTGTCTAAAAATAATGTAAAATTAATGTTTTAAGAGAAAGCATGGATATATGATCTAAACATGCCTCTCTTGAAATCCGGTTTTAAGAGATTGTTGGTAAAACAGCAGAAATTGTTATACAGAAAATATTTTTACTTTTCAAATTGGCACAAAAAAATTGAAAATATTTTTCCAATTAAATAGAGAAACCTGTAAAATATCTCAGAATTGGAAAAATTAACAGTCTCAGCAAAAAGGCACATAGCCCATTTGTGGGTTTTCTGTACTCTTCAATTCATTCATTGATGACATTCACATAAAACATTTTCTTCTATAAATCTACAGTGTTTTATTTTTAATTAGTTGTTTATCATTACCAATTTACTAGGACAATTTTTTTGCCCCTTTTTCCTAAAATATAGTTATCATCCTGACAAATTACTACAATTAACTTTGATCATTTCACTAAGAAATGCAACTTTGGAATAGCTGCTTTCTACATTACCAATGATTTCATTGTTCACTTGTTTCAGTTGTCACTGGATTTAGTGGAAAATTATAACCTGAGCAGGATCCTTCTCCACACAGATTGTCAAAATAAAAATCAGCCATCATTATTTATTCTAACACTGCATCTCAATGCCCACTGGCTTTCTATTATTATTTTTTTATTAATTATTCTGCCTTCTCTGTCCTCTAAAATATTTCTTAAAAATATGTAAAAGCTATATGAAATTAATATAAAAACGGAGTTTCATAGGAAGAATCGATATTTAAGAAAAAAAACTTACATCGAATCTAATACTTTAAAAAGTAACCACAGTAAACAAATGGTGTCAAATATTAACTCCAGTTGTTTTGAAAATTAAGTTAAATTTCAGCTGCAACACATTCCGCCTGATCACTGCTAAAGCAGGGAAACAGACCAGTTAAACTCAATCTGTCGGTCAACATAAAATAATATATAAGAGCTAAAAATTATTACCGATCATTTACCAAACAAAATGTTATGCTGGTAAAGTCATGACACCTATAAAGGTTTACAAAGCCGTCTCTTAAGACTTTGGGTTTCTAGAAAGCCTTTACAAAGGAGCATAGCCTTCCTAGCAACATACCAGGGAAAATAAGAGTTCCAAAAAACAACTGATGTAAGAAAAGAGCATATTTTTTTCCCAAATATACCCTAAACAAAACAGAGGTGGAACTTTTCTCTACCAGACTTAATAGTGACATTTTAGAAATAGAGCATCATACCTACTGCCTAAATGTGACAAGGATGCTGTTATTATCTGCATGTGTGTTGCTGCTTCTTGGTGCAAAAGACTTGCATTGAATTCTGCCGTCTGAAAAAAAAAAAAACAAAAAAAAACACACCACACCCCTTAACAAAACACATTTGCCTGAAGGAGAAAAAAAAGTTTTAGATTTGTGTTAGTTAAATTTGATTTTTTTTCATTCCAATGGAATGAATGTTTAAAAGGGAAAGTGACAAAGATGCCGATGGATAAATAAAAATTTAGTACCTTAAAGCTACAGTGTGTAACTTTTAGCGACATCTAGCGGTCAGACTGCAGCAACATGAACATCTCCCCCACACAGCTTCTCCCCCCCAACAGTACGGCGAGCGTTACGGGACAAAATGTCTTCCACGACGTCCGCATCACCTACCTTCTCAAGTGAT